CAGGTTCCCCTCACCTCTCCGCAGAGGCAGCAGTCTGTTCTCCAAGATGTCCCGTGCATCGGTCCCGTCGTCCATCAGGTCAAGCTTGGTGATCACGCCGATCGTCCTCAGGCCTGGCGGAACAACAACAGTGACCCATGTGTTTAGTAGTTTTTTAGTTTTAGTAACAGTTTTACGGCACTTGCAACTCAATAAGGTCATATAAGTGCCGAAGATTAGAGGTGTTACAAGAGAGTAACAAACACAAAAAAGAAGGAGGAGAGATCAGGACAATAGATGTTTGATAGGAAAGAAGGAGCAAACCACACCAGAGCACCCGCCAACCACCCACAACCCATGTGTGAACCACACACCCCCACAGATTTCTGCATCACTTTTCCAGATTCAGTGAGTTTTTTTACAGCACTTACAGCACAATTAGGCTCATATAAGTGCCCAAGATTACAAGTGCTACTTGGGAGTAACAAACACAAAAAAAGGAGAGACAAAGATGATAAATGTAAGACTGGAAAGAAAGAGCAAACAACACCAGGGCACCCACCAACCACCCACCTAGCCAGTGTAACAGCAGCTGAACAAATACTGCAAACATAGCATAATCTCTGACTGTCTAGAATTAAATTCTTGGTATTCTCAACACAATTCGTCACTGTGAAGGTTCACAGATTTTCTACGTACTTTAAGAACTTTACTGATAGTGTCAACCTGTGCTGGGGGTGAAGCTAGGACATAACCCCACACAACAAGAGGCAGAGACACTGGGCATTTGTCTGTCCTCGTCTCCCACATGGAAACAGCCGGTCACAGCAAAGACAAGCAAACACTCAAACATCCAACAACCACCAACAACTCATTTGACCAACACAAAACTTTCTCACAAAAATCATCAAACAGAAATAGCGTACCTTGTGGGTCCACTTCTTTAGCAATCTTCAGGGCGTCGGAGTTGGCCAGATCGGCGTTGGCGGGCGTGACGGCCAGGATGAGACACGACTCCTTCTGGATAAACTCCATGAGCATAGAGCGGATCTGGATCTCAATGTCGTGGGGCTGGTCCCCGACCGCCACCTTGGTCATGCCGGGCAAGTCAATCAAGGTCAGATTGAGAACTGCCGACACAAATAACCATCAAGGTCAGATTGAGAACTGCCGACACAATAATCAAGGTCAGATTGAGAACTGCCGACACAATAATCAAGGTCAGATTGAGAACTGCCGACACAAATAACCATCAAGGTCACTTTTTAGTTCTGGTAAGTGTTTTATGGCACTTGCAACACAATAAGGTCATATAAGAGCCGAAGATTAGAGGTGTTACAAGAGAGTAACAAACACAAAAAAGGAGGAGAGATAAAGATGACAGATGATTGATAGGAAAGAAGAAGCAAACCACACCAGAGCACCCGCCAACCATCCACAATCAAGGTCTCATTGAGAACTGCCAATACAAACAACAAAATCAGGACATTCTGGAAATGTTCAGCGAAGAACAATCTGGAAACGTTCAGTGAGGAACAATCTGGAAACATTGAGCGAGGAGCGAGAACTCACCTTGAGGGGAATACACCCGCAGGTTGATGGGGATGTTGGAGATGCCTTTGTTGCTTCCTGTTGCTCGGTCGGTTTCATCTTCGATTTCTTTCCTAACCAAGCTGAAATCGGTGAACTTTTTGCCCTTTGTGTGCACAAATTCCGCATATTCTGAGGAAAACAAAACAAAAACAGAGTTGATCCATTATTGTTTTGTAACATTCTGTGTTACTGGACAACTGACTCTAACAGGATCGCACTTCACAGACTATCTACTAGGCAAATAACAAATGAAATGAAGATTGAAATTTTTAAAAACTAATTTAAAGCTGCCTAACACAATCAATATTTAAAGCTACCTAACACAATCAATCCTGCCTCAAGTATTGTCTGAATTTACCAGGAAATTAATCAGGACGACCAGTGTTCTGTTTATCTTCTTTTGTCATACTCAACAACACACAAACACACAGAGCATCGACAAAGTGTAGACACAGGCACATACACATACCTCATTGCCCACAGCTCCACACTTCCCGTACAGAGCGAGAGAGAGAGAGCGAGAGAGAGAGAGACACACACAGAGAGAGCGAGAGAGAGAGAGAGTGTTTCTACGGCCAGAGTGCTGAGTCAGTCCATGATCAGACAACTTCTGTCATTTGGCATTTGGTGGCCATACTTTTGTTGAAAACTTCTTTCTGCATCACAGGAACCTACATTTGCAGTTCAAACCAATTCTTAATCTTTCATTTCCCTTTCAAAAATAAAAAAACATGGGCTCTTTAGATCTGGGTGTTGATTTTTTTCCTTGTGTTACAAAACGCATAACTGACTACTTCCCTCGGTAGATGGTGGTGGCAAAAGGAAAAGTGAAAAGGTAAGCCACACAGCACTTCTCACCGTACAAAGACTTCAAAGCCACGGTAGACTCCAGTGGTCCACAGAATTTGCTGGACACCAGTCACCAATAGTATAGTCAGAGAGTGAGTCGAGCGCTAATCCTCAAGGTGAAACGCTCACACATGAGAAATTGGTTTTTCTCCCTACATAAAAGCAACAAAACTAGCAGCACGACAAGCAAGTGCGTTTACATGACAGTATCCATCAGAACAATTGCACACTGTGCTTGTTACAACTGTTTTACCAACATACCCTTTGTAGAGATTTTCATTCCTATACCAGAGAAACAGGTCCATTTATTCAGGTGCAAACAGTTCAGCCCCGCACAATAGAGAGGCACTTGGGACAAAATATCTGAGGCCACGAGATGTTGACTAACGTTTTTGTTCACTGCTTTACAAAGTTCAGTAACGGTAACATGTCACGTCCTTCTGTTTGCCAACTGTTGGAGAACCAACTTGATCGAAACGTTTGAGTTCTTTGTGAATTGTTCCAAACCAATTTAAGTAAACTTCTTTGTTCTTCATCCTACTTCCTTTGTGGGATTTCGAAGGAATGAAATATCCTGTCGATTTACTATGTATGATATAATAGAATACAGGAAGTAAAGCCCTCACCAGTTTTACTGTTAATCAGCTGTAACACAAGAGGTCTCCTTGTCACAATTCCAGACCCTCGAGGCAGAAAGTCCCTGTGGAAGAAAACACAACAAATCATCCATTACACTGCCACAACAGTTAAAAAAGTAACATCTTTGTGTAAAGGTCTTCATTTAAAAATTGATTCTCGTATATATTATATTATACTAAAACTGATATCAAAATCATTACTGAATCATCAACGAATGAGAAACAGTCCTATTTTGAAAATAATAAATAATAAATAGCATTTGCATATAGCGCATATCCCCGCTCAACAGCAGGCTCTATATGCGCTTTACATTCTAATATCAACAGATTAGTGTCTGTTTACGTTTCCTTTCCTTTGAATAGGATAGATAGGAGGAGTTCCCCAACAACTTTCTTCCAAAGTTACATTAAATTAATTTGCTCATGATAGGTTATACAGACAGAAAATATCAAGGACATTTAATGGACAATAGAAGAACGCGATTCACGCAAGTTAACTTTTCAGACCTTGCTTGCTGTGATTCCTATTTCTCGTCATGTCATAATACTGGGTATCTCCAGATATTATAAGTATTTCTAGTGGAAAAGGCTATTCTCACCCGGGGTGAGACGGGGTGAGAATAGAAATACGATCGACCTCTCACCCCGGGTGAGACTTGCCATCGTAGGCTATTCTCACCCGGTGTGAAACAAGACCTGT